CCACTCTGCCTGACCTCGTACTTCACACACCCAGCCCCCACCATGGCTGTCGACCACGATCTGATTAACACAACCCTCGCGTCAATCCAGGCCAGCCCAGAGGCCCTCGAGACGCTAAGGGAGTTGCACATCAGGGCACTAACCGAGCCCCCTTTCATCAGCACAGGCTCTGACTCCCTCGCTGCCGCCCTCGATAAATTCGTCGCTCTCGACCCCGAAAAGTGCGCCCTCGTGTACCTCCTTCTCAGGGCGAGTGGTGCTAGATTTGTCATCGAAGCCGGCACTTCGTTCGGTTTAAGCACTATTTATCTCGCCTTGGCTGTCGGTCAAAACGCTGCCGCAGCCGGAACCCTGGAGGGAAAGGTCATTGCGACTGAGAACGAGCCGACCAAAGCCGTCAAGGCCAGAGAGAACTGGCGGTCAGCAGGCCAAGATGTCGAAAAATGGATTGAACTGCGGGAAGGAGACCTGCGTGAGACCCTGAAGCCTGATCTTCCCGAACAGATCGATCTTGTTCTTCTTGACAGTGAGTGCCACGGTTGACTCGCAGACGCATCTACTAACGTGGTTTAACCAGTCTGGACGCCACTCGCACTTCCAGCGCTTGAAGCGGTCAAATCAAGACTCCGAGTCGGAGCCACTGTTGTCGTTGACAACTACATTTCGGCCGCGAAAGGTTACAAGGACCTGAGAGCGTACCTTAATGATGAAGCGAATGGGTTCCGAAATACCACGGCTCCTTACTCAGGTGGCCTTCATATCGCCGTCTACCTTGGTGCTTGACCTGTCTTCTGAAGACAAAAAGAGAGGACTGCGACTTGATATGATGGATCAGGCTGTGCGAATCAAGAAAGTGAAAATCCGAATGCCAAATCAATGATGTACACGTTGGATACGCGGAGTCTGCAAGAATGATGAAGCGTCAAAGGTGGCTCTGGTGCATTACACTAGAACCAAACGCATAACACATGCATCATAAGATGAAATTTAGCGCATGCCGCCCAATCCAACCACGACGTGCACAACGCAACATGCAGTGAATTGCACCGAGCAGGGTCATCTCGCTAAATAGAGCTGGATTGGTTTAACGCGAAGACATTTGGACCTGCCCAGCCGCTTCAGGAGAACATTGGTCTCTTGGCGATGGCAACTCCCGTGCAGTAGCCGTCGTCTAAATAATATAACCCATTGTAGAAGATGTGATAGAGCTGCAAGATACAGCCCACAAGAGCCTCGCAATCAAGAGTTGAGAGATTGATGATCGAGGTGAATGTTCCACGCCGGAAAACAAGTATTCTTGGCGGCGTCACCAACGAAGCTTGTAGAAGCCGGGTGGACATGTAAGCTAGCTCTTTGCCTCGGCCAACCAATACTCAGTAGCACGTTAATGCAGGCCGCTCTGCAAACATGCATCAGCCTATGTAGATGAAATTCCGGCATTGATTGGCTGAATAGAGCATACATAGCTGAGCTACACTATTCGCAAGCTTAATCCAGTGAAGTGACAAAGTATGTGATGGGATGTGAGCCACCAGAAGACTTTCACCTTGATATACAGCAAACCCTTGCTTGAAGAGCTTAGTGGGCTGATAATCCCGTGCCGCGCTTACCTGGAGGAGTTTGTGAAGAGTATATGAACGTATCATGGGTATAATCGTGCATCTATTCTTGACCAAGAGGAGTTTTTCTTTTCCTTTTCTTTTTTGGGCGCCGGCTAGGAGCTGTGTCCTATGCAGGAAAGTTGATTTTATGGTATAGAGCTCGAAGCATGGACCAAAGGCTGCTAGATTTTCATGTCGTCCACCCCTACACATATACGCTCCAGAAGGGTCAGTGCTACTTCCGCTTATCCATGCCGCAAGCTTTAAGGAGCATCTGCAGTCTGTTTCGGCACGTATTTCGGGAGGTAATGTCCATTGCTATTGGTGCCCTGTGTTTAACCTCTCCATCTGCGCCTCACAGCTACAGCGACAATGGCATGCTGCCAAGGATGCCGTCACTGGTTGAGATGCGGAATTGGCTGTTTCTGTGTAGTCGAGCAAATTCCACCAAGGGACACGGTATGTAGCAAAAGAAAATCACAACATTTTGATATTGACCTACTGCGGTTATGTTCGGGATCTTCCTCCATGACTCTTTGAGTTCCAATTTTCGAGTTGAATCTTTTTCTTGGACCTATAAAAGATCACAATGTCTTCATACCAAGATGACTTTGATGACAACCAAGACAGCCAAAACATTTATCCACTTGTTACCAAAGACCTTACCCAACCATATTTCAGGAACAATGAAGCTCTCTCTTGCCATCGCCTTCCTCTCCATAGGCGCTGCTGTGGCCGTCCCTGCTTTGGAAACGCTCGAGATTGGCTCCGTCGAATTCTCTGCCGCAGGCAAATATGGCGCCTCGTGCAGCTGCAATTCCGTCAAAGAAAAATGCTACTGCATGCAATGTTCTTACAACCCTCACATGTGTAACATGGTTGGCCCCTTCGGAAAGTGCTAGCTGCAAGGTAAAATAGCCTTCTGGTACACCCCCAGAGCGACTGCTAATAGTTCCAGAATTTACATCAATATCTACACGATTTACGTAACAGTTTGTGCTTAGTTAACAGCTGAGAAGTTTTGTAGTTGTAAGGCAAATGCTCGTATCAAGGAAACGATGAAATGAAAACAAGTCCCACATCAGGTGGGATTTGAGATACTGGGCTAACGAGATGAATGTGATCAAATTTCATTAACCATTACCCTAGATATCCATCAAAGAATGATATACTTCCAGACCAATCCAACTCACCGAAATGTCAATGATTTACTCAGTGGCTGCTTGCGACTTCGAGAAGAAATGTATTTCAAATATGATATCATGGTGGCAGTTGTTTGAAATCTGTTGAGCCTCAACTCAACCCAAGATTCGAAGCACGTGGAAGCATCTTAGTAGCTGGTGAACTTGGTGGCTCACCCTGCTCTTTCATGTCTCGGTCCACTTTCACTCACCGCTGAAGAATTTGGCGCTCAAGCAAGGTCTTAGTATCTCTGCCAGCACTTTCATCTTTCGTCTTTGATCCTTGTCCTGTTGCAGATTATCATGATGTCTCATCGATCAAGACCGAAGGTCCAGTCAACTTCTGGGCGAGGCACGCAGGCTGCGGATGCTGCGAGTGTCGCCTTCTTTCGATAAACTGATATCTCCAAGCCTGTATGAATGACTAAAAACCTGAAAACAACCAGATCACGTCGTGTCACTTACTCTTGCTTATTGCCAACCTTCTTAGACATTTTCCGCAGATATCGTTTATTCTACTTCAAAAATCAGGAAAACTTTGATGAGCCCGAAGATACGTTGCACGACGATCAGATCTTTTCTAGTATGCAAAATTCTCGAGGGTCGACTGGCACCGTTGGCGGGCCATACCGTCCTCAGAGGTATGGCTACGGTGAGCGCTTACCCTGTATTCGTCAATCACGGTTTTGGGCTCTAGGTGCCTTCTCATCATCGCCATTTTCAAGCATCGTTTCCACGTTCCAAAACAGATCAGATCAAGAAACAGGCTTGATCGCACCACAGCGGTCGTTGCTGCTGGCTCGTGACAGCACCGACGAAATAGGGTCTTCTTCAGACTCTGCCACTTCGACTACCTGCCCGACAGCCCTTCAGAGCAGTACGGATGGCATATTCGAACAATTTCAAAGCCCCAATTCCGTTTGTCACGCTACACCACTGCCGCAGGCCAGGATCAGCAGCACCGATGCCCTCCTCTCCGAATTTGAGTCTCACAGCGGCCATACGCCAGCCCGGAGACCCATGCAGCTGGGAGAGCTCCAACCACGGACTACCATATGCTTCCGTCCTAGCAACGCAATTGCTGGCCTCGTCAACCCTCACCAAGACCCATGGCAGGTGACCCGCCTCAAGGCCCAACACGGCATCTCGTCAAATACCGGCGACCCAAGTCTTCCGGGCAATCACAGCGCCGCCATTCCGACGCAGAAAACTGTTCCTTTTGGATCATCGACTTGC